AAAAAATTTACAATATGCCAAGAACAGACTGCAGGTTGTTCAGAAGTGTAAGGTTTATATTTTGGTCAGAATGCCCTATTAAGTGAAGTTCAATTGTCTTATTTTTATCCACAAATTAATGCTTACATCTAAACCTATATATCTTAGAGAAAAGTTCATTCTTAGAGGTAGTGCGCATAATAGGAAGGTACAATCAATATTCCCCAGCATAATTCATCTTCATTCCAGCGCAGTTTCTCACGCAATGCTATTGATTGATGCTAACTCTAAAGTGATGTCCTTAAGCGAATTCAGGAAATGTACCAAAGGCTTATCATTAATGAGTAATAATCGAACAAATCAACCGTAGTTGCTTAATATTGATGTCCACCACTTGTCATGTGCATTCGTTTTTCTTTCTTTTTTTGGGTGTATAACAATTCATAATTTCTGTGCTTTACCTTGCTGTCATACGAGGGTGACTGAAACCTTTGACCACGTAGTCTGTTTTTAGTTTTCGGGAAAATAAAGAAATCGTTAGGCCCATATTGTCAGTCTCTTGTGGTTAAGTGTCAGAATAATCCACTGCTAAACTTCGCCACTAGTGTTAGACGTGTATGTACCTTTATGTACCTGTATGTACTTAATAAAGACTAATTCATTATCATTATTTTGTCCTATTTCTGTGGGAGTACATCGTACAGCGGCGGCGTTCCTTTCATACGCACTGTTCTGTGATGCAGACATTGCATTAGTCTTATTCTGACAGTGTTGCCAAATGTTAAGACAATTCGACACCTATATTCCAAAATGTAACCAAATTCAATGTGGTATTAGATTATAGTTGGTTGTAGAAAGTGCTCTTAACATCCCTCGGTGGAGAAAGCCATTATTGGCACAGCACTTTTATTCCAAAGGCGCATTATGTCAAAGAATATAATGTGTCTACGCCGTTCTGTATGGCCAAAAGAAATTCTCACAGCGCCTGTCTATACGGTGCAACTAATAATATCAGGGCTTTCTATCTTGATCGAAATGCATCACGTTTCCGAATTACAGTAGTCTCACGCTCTGTCAGTTTATTCGACAGGGATATTGTTATAGAAAAGAGAAAAATCACGTTAAAGGGTCGACTGATGATATTCGACAGTCGAAATTATCGGCAGCAGCTAGTGAGATTACGAAATTGCGCCAGCAAAATAAAAATCGTGCTCGGAATGATTTCTGTAAGAATTTATTGTTAGTAATACATCAGAGAGCATGGACTTTTTATCACTGCTCGTTCAGAAGAATTACTGTGTATTCGGGATTGCAGAAAAGTCTTAAAGAATAATCAATATGGATAACATCCGCTTTGACCACATTTTCATTGAAACTAATATCTTTTTATAGGAGCTATTGTGGAATTTCTGCCTTTCTTGTGGACATTGTGGGATTTTTTTTCTAGTTTTCTGGTACGGTATGCAGAATTGTCAAGCACAATGACAGCATTGTTGTCAAGCTTTGGGAACGTTTCTTCAAACCATCATTCACATGAACTCCCGTCCATTTCTTCATGGTAGTCGGTCGTTTTCTTTGACTCAAATGTCTATAGGGCAATGGGCACGAAGCCATCTTCACTGCCAATGTGACAGATAACAAATCGTTTTCGTTTTCCTGAAAATAATGATGTCATACAGTATACAAGCAGAGTATCTAACAGGTAATCTACCAGATTCAGCTAAGTTTAGTGTACCTAAGTTTTTTACAACACAAATGACGAACTGGTTAAATACACGTACCTGACGGATTCTTTAGGCCAGTGGTTAGTCCATCTAAGAAGGCTTGTCTTGCTGATTAAATTGTAGAGTCAGCACACACCTTAGGTTTTGTATGTCCTGCATTTATCCAGGTATCAACCAAGTAATAAATCTTCCTGCCCTGGTCGCGGCATTTCATCATTGATTTTAAATAATATCTTCTCCATAAAATAATGTCTTAGCTGTCCATCACAATACTGTTTCTGTCTTGTATTCTATACTCAAGATGAGGTTTTTTGAGTATAGAATTAATGTGGTCCTCTTGAAAGTTGGTAAGTCTTCAGCACTATCAACCTCCTGTAATACTTTGTCAATGTTGGGTAGTACTTGCCTTTAAAAAAAATTATGAACTTTGCTTCTGATGGCATTCCGATCAAAGTTATAAACTGTATCCAGCGGCTTCGAGCATTGCAGCCTCTTGTGTGGTGGAGACAAATTTAGTATTTTTTTTTCAAATTCTTTAACAATGTTAAACATTTTCTTAGGACATAGGCCTCTTTTGTTCGCAACACGTCTTTCAATATCATGAATTTGCATTTTACGATGCTCCAAAATTTCGCTCTTACAAACGTTGACGACAATTTATTTTGTCTGAATATTCAAATGTCCCTTATTGTCATGTCTTAGGGGAGGAGACATCACTGAAGAGGAAGCACGGCTGAAGGAAGCATTAGAAGCAAATATTCTCAGTTCCATCTGCTCTATCCGTACACGCTATGCATGCACCTAATATCAACAGCAACAGCCGTCGTCGGCGTGGCGGCGACACCCCAAGCATGAGTTCTATCCTGACGAATCCGGCACTTGTTCGTAGATTTATGGCAGAATAACCAATAGCTATTGCAACGCTTAGGCGGCTGCCGCTTTGCCGCGCTGCATCTTTGTTGTGCCGGAGCGTAAATGGACTACGAATAGGGAATAGAACCATGTAGTACTTTATTGTACATAACTTAATGGCATTTTGTCGGCAAACTTTTGATACCTTGAATCACAATTCGGTCATGTTTCACTCAACTATACAAAGCTCTTATAAATCATACACCTTAACTTTCCTCATGAATCTCTCTGTCCAATGGTGAAAACCGTATCAAAATTCCGTTGGGTAGTTTCTGAGGTTTCGCATTCAGACGGTCGTGGTAGAGAACTTTATAATATGTGGTGTTTTTCGCTGCGCTAGGCGCGGACGAGGTTATATTCCTATGTCTTGAGAGAAAATGATAATAATAATAATAATAATGCTTTTGTTTGTTGTACATGTGAGGGACAAAGATAGCAAAGTTTAGCCTAGGCTACTCTTACACTTAACTATCTTTGACAGTACATTTAGAGCACGTTGTAAGGTGCGTTGCCTAAGATGTCATAAAAAAAAAATTATAGTTATAACTAAACTGTACTATAAACTAAAATACACCACAACTATATACAGTATGTGCGAGGAAATGTGTGAAATATGTTTGATGGGTCCGTAGACTTAACACGTATAAATATAAAAATGCAAGTTGAGATCTTCATCACTCCACCCCCTACAACCACCAACCCCTACATTTTTTCGCGTATAATTTTTTTGTCTAAAAATGAAAAAAAAAAACGAATTTAGATCAGTTTCCATGTTTTCGTTGCTCGCCTGTAGCTACGCTGCCACTGGACCGATTTTCAAAAACTACAAATAGAGCGGTACTTTCCAAGTTATACAGTGTGTCCGAGATTCGCTTCTCTATACAGGGATCTCGGCTCCAGTTATACCTGCAGCAAAGGTTAAAAAGGGAGAGTTTTAGAGGAAATTTTGTGCATTCGATAGCCGGCTTCAGATTAACGATCGGTTAATTGGTTTCTGAAAAATCGGCCAAAAATCCGAAACGGCAAATTTGACAGCTGTCAAAATGTGACATTATTCGGATATTTATTTAAGGCAAATAAGATAGCGCGTGTGACATGTCTCAATCGTCTTTTTTTTCCCCGCAACCTACCTCAAATTCCGTTTTTCTTACGGCCGCCATAATTGATTTTTCGATTTTTGAAAAGAGCGTAAAATTTCCAGCCTAGTGATGTCTCACAAGTGCATAAAAGTCTGGAGTAACGTCGAAATATCATCACAGGTAATGTTATGTATTAATTTTTTTCTAAGGAGGCCATGATTTATTTGCCAGAAAATAAAATTAATAGCTTACGCATCTTTTTTCATCAAAGGGGACTCTGTCGTTGATGTTAAGTAATTCAAAGTATTAAAACTGTGTTTTAATAAGTAGTAGATACGTTTTCTCTCATTTAAATCATAAATTTGACAAAAAAGTTGTCGAAGCTTGTTGAAATTTCCCTAATCAAATAAAAAAAAGTTTGACATGTTAGCGCTGTACTTGCAGTCACACAGAAACGCCGACATTACCTTAGCAAGGTACTTGGATCTCCGAACGACGGCACCCTCACAATAACCAATTCAGAAAAATAGTAGTTAATTTAATAAACCCCTTCGAACAACCCATAAGCGGATACATTATTGAAAATGAAAATAGCGACAGACACATTTTACAACCTGTCAACGGAATCCCTAGAGCATCAGTAAAAGCTATGGAACGAGAAAATGTGTCCAAATCACACAGAGTGCTAAATAAGAATATTTACCATACAAACCAACCTACACTAGTTTAAGGACTGAAGCAAACTGATTTTCCAAGGCGAGTGCGCTTCTACGAGTGGTATACTAGAAAATTTAATGAAAATCCCAATTTTGTAAATATCTTGTGGTCCGATGAGAGTCGGTTTACGAATCGTGGAGTTTTTAATAAGCACAACACTCATCATTGGGCTGTCCAAGCCCTCGCCAAGTAGAAGAGAGACGTTTACAGACCTGATTTGGAACTAAAGTATTAGTATGGAGTCATTGTTAAATTAATCTATCTTACCTATTTCAATTGAACACTTATTTGAAATTAGGTTTTAATCATTTCAGGAAATCGACTTGTAGGAACATTTTTGTTTGACTACGAGGGATGTCTTTTAAGTTTTGCATATAGAAACATAGTAGGTCGCACGGATCGAACGTCAGTACTGAATCTTAACCGCAATCTTTAGTAAACTTAAATTCAAAGTTTCACAACAATACGTGAAGTGTTCTCACTACAGTGAATTTTTAAGTGTCACCAAGTCATTAGAAAAATGGAACTCGACCGAGAACATTTTCACACAACTTTCAGAAACAATTATCGCAACAAGAACGCCTTGCTGAGTTGCTGTCTGTTTTCGGTAACGAAGCGCCACATCAGTCGACAATTTCCCGTTGGTATGGAGAATTCAAACGTGGACGGGTGAGTCTTAGCGACGATCCCAGAGTGGGTGCACCAAAAACGGCAGTCACCAAGAAAAACGTCGATGCTGTGCGCAAGCTCATCATTGAAGATATACATGTGACATATCGCGAGATTGAGGTGTCCTTGAAGATCTCAAAGACTTCAATTCAAAAAATTGTACATGAAGAATTAGGAGTAAGAAAATTAGTTTCTCGTTGGATTGAAGAGCAGAAAGCAGCCAGGGTTAATTGGTGTCAAAAAACGCTTGACTGTTTCAATTCCGGAAACTCAAAAAATGTGGACAGCGTTCTTGGTGGTGATGAATCGTGGATTTACTGTTATGAACCAGAAAATAAACGACAGTCGGCTGTTTGGGTGTTCATAGGTGAAGAAAAGCACACAAAAGTCATCCGTTCTCGAAGTGTTTCGAAAAAGATGGTCGCGACATTTGTGTCAAAAGCGGGTCATATGGAAACAATTCCTCTTAATGAACAAAGAACAGTTACTGCGATTGGTATACCACCATTTGTTTGCCAAAAGTCATCATCGAGCTTCGAAAAATCAACCCTGAAAGAAGAATCATCCGCCACCAAGACAATGCAAGCTCGCACACAGCCCAAAAAACAAGGCAGTATTTAACGAAAGAAAATGTGGAATTATTAGACCATCCTCCATATAGTCCCGATATAAGTCCTAACGATTTCTTTACTTTCCCGAAAATTAAAAACAGACTGCGTGATCAAAGGTTCCAGTCACCAGAAGAAGCAGTTCACACATTCAAAAATGCCGTTTTGGATCTGCCAGTAAACGAGTGGAATAAGTGCTTCGAAAATTGGTTCGAGCGCATGCAGATGTGTATTAATCTTCGTGGAAAATACTTCGAAAAACAATAAAGTCATTTAAAACTAGCTACCGTGTTGTTTTATTTCCATATGCAAAACCTAAACGGACAGAAGTTTTGCGAAACCATTTTCGGTTTTTCGCTGATATTTTCAAAACCAATTGACCGATCGTAAATCTAAAGCCGGCTATCGAAACTACTAAGTTTCCTCTAAAACTTTCCCTATCTAACCTTTGCTGTAGGTGTAACAGTAGCCGAGATTCCTGTATAGAGAAGAGAATTTGGGACACACTGTATGTGTGCTGACGGCTAGCGGACAGAAGCAGACAGAGATAGAAAGACAGACATACCGACAGAAATGAGGGACAATGGTTTTTCGTGAAATGGACGAATCATCCAAGGAACATAATAAAATAAATAAATAAATATCTTTATTGCCATTCGACTTAAAGAAGTATCAGCAAATTGTCAAGGATGAATGAGACAAAAAATAAAATGACCGACGCCAATCTAGAAATAATAAACACCCCACATACCGATTTGATGACCCTGGCAAAACAACACATCTGTACTATTTGGCAAAGCCAATGGAACAGTAGCACCACCAAACTGCGGGAGGCTATTTCAAGTGTGACGGAACACCTCAGACTACTTAGAAGAAGACGCGACCAAGTGATTATCTCCCGTTTGCTAATTGGTCATATGCTAGTGACACATAAATACCTGTTCAGCAACGAAGAAGCCCCAACATTCCAAACCTGCCAACTCCTAGACTGCAGACTTACCGTCAAGCATAATATACTCTTAGAGTGCACTGCCACGCAAGATGCACGAAACCATGCTTGCATGCCAGAATCCATAAAGGAAGCCCTCACCACGTACTACGAACGAACACTACAGTTTCTCAAAGAATCCAATACCTACAATTTAATCTAATGTCTTATGTATTGTATGTAACTATGTACCTTATCATTGTAACCTTGTCGTCCAGCCGCTAATAACCCTGCGTGGTTGATGCAGCTTTTGTGTTTTCTCAATAAAAAAAAAAAAATAAAAAAATAAAATAACAACATAAACAAACAAATAAAAAATGTGTGAGTAAATAACAAATAAACAAAAAAAGACGGATGCACAGATTGAAAACAGATTAAAAAATAAATTGTTTGCATTAATACAATTCACAAGTCTGATGTTAAGTATTCTTGGATGCTGTAAAAAGAGCTTTCCATAAATAGAATTTTAACTCGGCATTGGAAAGCACTGAAATTGGTGACAGCTCTGATAACAATTGGCAATTTGTTGAACAATCTCCTTTGCTGATAAAGCAAGGCTATGTTGAGGGGTACGCAGACAATATGTACCGTACCTGTATTCCTTAGATTGTAACCACTCTCCACGTTGCTTCGCGATTCATATTTTTCAAAGATCTTTCGAACACGACATACACAATTAAAAATATAAAGTGAGTGTATCGTCATGATGTAGAGAGTTTTGAATAGTGCCCGACAAGAAGTGAGCTTTTTACTAAATCTTATTGTACGAATCAGTCTCTTTTGCACAAGTAGCAAATTCAATGTATGTGAGCTGCTACCCCAGCAAACGATACAGAAATTCATGGCTGACTGTACTTGAGCAAAATACTTACTAACTGCCTTAGTCTCTATAACACAAAGCTATGCTTTGATATTTTGTTGACTAAACAGTCAATATGATCTGTCCAAGTAAGCCCTAAATCGATCATAACACCAAGGAATTTAGTGACCTGGACCTCGTTCACGCTGGTTCCGTTAATTTTCAGGTCAATATCACAATCTGTCTCTCGCAAACAGAACTGCATTAGTTGCGTCTTCTGTTCATTAAGTACTAGGCCATTTCTTACACAGTACAGTACTAACTGACAACTCGGTACTGAGCTGAGTTGGATCTTTAGTTTTACCCACACCGTGGTATCGTCAGCAAATAATGTAACAAAATGCTGTTCCATGACAATGGGCGCAACGTTGACAAACAACAAGCACAATAGAGGCCCTAGTATGCTTTCCTGCCGAAGACCAGTTGAAACAACCTTGGTGCTAGAAGATAATTTACATCTGCCATTATTAATGACAACTCTTTGTTCCTCGTCGGATAGATAACTTTCTATCCAATTTAAAGCGGTTCCTCTGACTCCGTGGTTATTCATTTTCGAGTAAAAGAGCATGGTTGACAGTGTCGAAAGCACAGCTTAAATCTATAGAGACCCAACACGTTTTGTCCTTCTTTTCAAGGCAGGTTAAGACAAAGTGACACAAAGTCAATACTGCATCTTTTTTTATTTTTTATTGAGAAAACAAAAGCTGCATCAACCATGCAGCGTTATTAGCGGCTGGACGACAAGGTTACAATGATAGGGTATACTTTATCTGAAGTCACTGTGAAATACCGGGTGCGTTTTATATATCTATATTTAACACGCTCTGTTGATGCAAAAATCGCCAAATTTCGCAGCAAATATCCCCCGTATAAGAGATCAAAGGCAGTATCACCGGTCCACGTGGAGTAAAGCACGCCTATGCGTGGACATAGCCAATGAGAAAGCGTGTATTTCAGAGCTCGTAACAAGTGCAGGTGGCTACTGAAAATTGAAACAGTTTAGCCAGTGCCGTGTAGCGGTGAATAAACGTGTTTTCTTTAGTCTGTCCGTGTTTTTTCATAGATTTTATTAGTTTGTGTGTTTTTGACTTTTGAATACTCAGTTTACTTGTTGATTTAATTGTTGTGTTGATTGTTCTTGTGTGTCCTAAATATGGCTCTTTGGAGACCTTGGGAAAATGCTCCAAGCCACGAGGAGATGGTTGATGAACCTGTGCAGGCAGAATTCTTTCATAAAGATTTAGAGGAACAGACCCAAAGAGTAATCCTAAATATGTATGATTGTCTGAAAAACGAAAATCCAGATTCCTCGCAAAATCAAATTTTAAACAGAATTTGTATCCTGACAAATATCAGTCGGTCTACCATTTATCGGGTTATAAAAAGGGGAGATGTAGTCAACCATTCCTTCCACAGAAAGCGCATAGGGCAAAAATTAAAAAGAATAGACGTGGGTTTTCAGGAAGATATTCGTCGTATAATATACGGATTTTATAAAGAAAATTTGGTGCCCACGTTGGAAATGATACGGGATAAATTAAAAGATTATCCTGAAGATTTTTATAATTACAAATGCTTAGACTCACTGCACTGTATTGTAAAACTGTGTGGTTTTCAATACAAAAAATTAGATAAAAGAATGGTGATTATGGAGTCGTCTCGAATCGTTGAATTGCGCCAAGAATTTTTGCACAAAGTTAAAATCTATAGAGAGCAGAAAAGAAATCTGATTTACCTGGATGAAACGTGGTATGATACCCATGATGTTATGCAGTACGGCTGGGTTGACGACAGCCACAAGTGCATTTTAAATGCACCATGCAACCGTGGAAAACGAATCATTATTCTCCATGCTGGCAGTGAAAATGGATTTATACCTAATGCCTTGATGTTATCTGCCAAAAATATCTAAGAATCATGTGCCGACTATCATGAGGACATGACCTCCGACTTATTTGAAAAGTGGATAGAGCAGCAGTTAATACCAAACATTTCCCCAAATTCAGTGATTATTATGGACAATGCGCCATACCATTCCCGACAGAAAAACAAAATTCCGAATACAGGCACAAAAAAACAAGACATTATTGATTTTATGAAGGATAAGGGAATGGAAATACCACAAAAATCAACCAAAGCCATATTATTGGATCTTATTAAAAGACAAAAATTTGAAAAAGAGTATGTTGTTGACAATCTGCTTCAGCAAAATGGCCATGAAGTATTACGTCTACCTCCCTATTACTGCATTTTTAACCCGATTGAGTTGGTCTGGGCTGCTTTAAAAAAAAGTAAGAAAACATGATCAGACCCCTCAATTAAGTGAATCGCTATTGGCCACAATAAGAGATGCAGTATCTCATATTGCTGCCACAGACCTATGGAAGCAGTGTTCTAGGCATATTATTGAAAAAGAAAATGAATATTGTGTTTTGCCTCCTGTAAATCCCGTTGTAATTCCTCTACAAGATGACTCTAGCGACAGCTCCGAAGGCGAGGATGATATATAAATACCTATAATGTAAGTCTTTATATACCTTTTTATATACCTACCTACTATGTAAATTATTTGCCTATGTCAAACGTTGGAATTCTGTAATTTTTCCATTTCTTAACTTTCAGTCAACGTAAATTAAACTCCCAATATAAGTATTTTTTATCCCAAATCAAAAAAATAAGAAGATAGTAGATTCCATTTGTTGTGATATAAAAACATTATTATTATCGTTCTAAATAAATGCCGCACGCCTATGATACGTCATGAAATTACAAAGGACGCGCCGACCAAAGGTTTTTATGCTATTTCAAGTGACTTCAGATACACCATACATAGTTACGTACAATACATAAGACATTAGATTAAATTATAGGTATTGGATTCTTTAAGAAACTGTAGTGTTCGTTCGTAGTACGTGGTGAGGGCTTCCTTTATGGATTCTGGCATGCAAGCATGGTTTCGTTCGTCTTGCGTGGCAGTGCACTCTAAGAGTATATGCTTCACGGTAAGTCTGCAGTCTGGGCATGTTGGGGCTTCTTCGTTGCTGAACAGGTAACTATGTGTCACTGGCGTATGACCAATTAGCAAACGGGAGATAATCACTTGGTCGCGTCTTCTTCTGGGTATACTGAGGTGTTCCGTCACACTTGAAATAGCCTCCCGCAGTTTACTGCATCTTTTGTAGATAGGTTATTCTGAAATTCAAATTGGTGCCTGTTGATGATATTGAATTTTCCGGTAAAATTTTATCAGTTTATTATAATAAGCCTTTTCGAAGAATTTTGCGAATACAAGTAACAAAGAAATGCCCCTATAATTAGCCATATGGGTGATATCGTCTTTTTTATGGATTGGTATAATAACTGATTCTTTCAGCTTATAAGGAAATGTGCTTTCTGCAAAATACAGATTTGACAGTGCTCTCTGTCGTCTTGCAACTAAGTCTATGAGATATAATAGGAATGAGCAAGGTACTTCATCA